AAGAAGGAGCTGAGCGGGAGAGGAAAGAGGAAGAGGATGAGCAGGAGGGTTGGCTAAGAGGCTGGGTGGGATTTACCCGACCAGGACCTGCTGGGACCAGGGTCTCACCAGGTCCTGCAGGACACTCTGAGTAGAGTTGAATATGGCTGAGCCACTCCCCATGTCTACTGAATACTGGAGGTTGGAGATGGTAAAGTTGAGTGTGAGGGTTTCCAAGTTGTACAACAGAACTGTAAGAGAAGGGGTGAGATGGCAGTCACTGAGAGCCAGCCTGAGTCCTGTAATCATGATAAATCATGATAATCTGTTATCTTCTTTTCCAGTGGTATTAGTGTGGTCAAGTCAAAACCATCAGAAATACTCAGAAATATGCATATTACTCATCTCACCTCCAAGTACTACCAACTCCACATGTGAATGATTCTCACATACATCACCTCTCTCCATCTTCTCCCAGCCCAGTTCTTACCTTCTCTCCCCTGGACCAACACCCCAGCAGGCACACTAGACACCCTGTCTAAAAGATGTTCTCCACACTGAATAGTAGAAGTTTTCTTAAATGAAAGTTTCACTATGGTCACCACTGCTCTATATCATCCATGACACCCTACGGCCTTCAGCATTAGGTTCAAGCTTATAATGACCTGGCACTCAAGTTCCTTCCTAATCTTGTTCTTACCAATATTTCAGTTTCATTTATCCATCTACTCCATATTAAGCTTTATACTTCAGGTAAATGAAATCCCTCTCAATTTCACTACACTATGCTGTTTGTGCCTACTGACCCTTTGATCAATCCCCTCTACCAGGTGATCTCCTTCTCCATGCCCTATTTGACTAGAGCAGTGATGGCGAACCTATGACACGTGTGTCAGAGGTGACACGTGAACTCATTTTTTTGGTTGGTTTTTCTTTGTTAAATGGCATTTAAATATATAAAATAAATATAAAAAATATACAACTTTGTTTTACTATGGTTGCAAATATCAAAAAATTTCTATATGTGACATGGCACCAGAGTTAAGTTAGCGTTTTTCAAAATGCTGACACGCCGAGCTCAAAAGGTTTGCCATCACTGGACTAAAGCATTCCTACTCCTTCTTAAAGGCTCTGTGTGGGTAACTTTCACCAGAAAGCTATTCCCATTCAAATTATACCAGATGCTTCTTACCAAAACATCCCACATTTTGTTATAATGGTCTGTTAATCTCACAAGCCTGGAGGCTCCATGACGTTAGGCATTAACTTGAATTGTTGGTATAATTGGTTGGCCTAAAACCAGAATTTCACAGCCTAGCTCACCAGTTCCTGTGTGACAACTGTCTGGTGGGGCTTGAGAGCTTCTCTTAAGAAGGAAAAGGGCCCCATCAAATACCTGTGGTTGCTTCTGGTTGCACAGATGACGACAAAGTGGGCAGGACTGTAGTGGCTGGTTTAGGAGCTATAAAAAAGGCAGTCATCAGTGAGGGACAGACCCCCCGCCCCCCCGACAAAGAGGGAAAGTCCCATCAGGGTCTCATGGACTCCAGCAGAAGTTGCCCTAGGAAAACCACTCACAGGTGTATCATAAATGAGAGTGAGGAAAGGTGTAACTGTGTGAGGATAGGGGTGAGCAAACCTGTAAATGAAATGAATTCAAGAGAGTAAGAGAGGGTGAATGATAGACTAAACAAAGAGGATAGATGGGCGGGCAGAAAATGGACAGACAAATGGGATACCTGGATGGACAGAGGAAGAATGAACAAATGAAGGGTCAAAGAGAAAGCAGGAAGAATAAAGACAAGGAATAGAAATTGGAGAGATGGAAGGAAAATAGGAGGGAAGGACAGATGTAGAAAAGAACAAACAGGTGAATGGTCAGAAGGCTGAGTGTACAGATAGTAAAAAAGGAGAGAAGAATAGCATGAAGAAGTAGAGTTGGAGAGATGAATGGAAGGACAGAAAGAATACACACAGGTAAATAAGCAGAAGGATGATTGGATGGATGAATGGAAGAAAAGAATGAAGAAAGGAAGGAAGGAAGGAATGGATCAAAGGAGGGAGGTGTTTGGAAGAGGGGAAAGAGGGAGAAAAGAAGGTATTTGAGAGAAGGGGTAACTGGAATAATGGAAGAATAGATGGGTTAAAAGATAAACAAAGGAACCACTGGATAAGTTCATGGGCAAATTTGGCCTAACCACTGAGTAGCCCCCTAGAGTCTGCAGTTGGATGCTGAGGCCCCTCGTGGGGCCCCTGTAAGAGATTTTGTTTTTAGGAGGCATGAACTAAAAGTTACTACGTGACTTCAACCCCATCTCTGTAGGGAATTCTTGTTAAAATTTCTTATTCTAACCCAAAGGGATGTGGAGAAATTAGAAAGCCATTATCATGGAAGAAGGTCGAAAAATAGGCCAAGGACTCAGCATTCTTCCTCCCACTGACACCTTGGCCCTACTCAGAAGACCGGCCTGAGTTTAGGGCAAGCTCCCTTTGTCAGTGAGGAGAAAAGCTTGGCTCAAGAACTGAGGAGTCTAAAATGGGCACTAGAGGCAAAGATACGTACTTGTAGGAGGCTCATCTGGACCACGTTCATTATAACCTGGAACGAACAAGTCGCAAATAAGGGAAGTGGCAGAACAATCCCAGGTATTCCATGCATTTGAGTCATGTGGGACTCCTGCCTGGATTCCTTTCCCTATGTGTATCAGGTGAGCATCGAGGCATATTCTAAGATGAGATGCAAATGTCATATCCACTATGAGGGCTTTCTTGATCTTTCCATTAAAAATGACCCTTCCCCATCCACCTATCCAGCATGCCCCCAACAAAAGATACACATTTATGTTCATACATTTATTCCCCCCCTTCCATATCCATACACTCCACCATCTTCCCTTCCATTATCCCTCCATCTATCGCTCTATCCAATGAATAGGTATTCAGGCTTACTATGTGCCAAGTTCCATTACATTTGGGGAACATACAGTGAACAAAACAGTTTCTGTCCCATTGGAGGTTACATGATGTCATGTTGTGCATTTAGCCTGTCTTTGTCCCTGGTGCCTGGCTTACAGCAGATGCTTGGTAAATGCTGAGTGAGTGAACAAAATGAAGCATATAGGTTGTGCAATTTCCAAAGGGGGGAAATCCAAAAGTGGGCCCTGCAATGGCCAAGGTGAAGGCAACAGACGTGAACTCAGAACGTCAAGATGCAGACTGGCCATAAACCTACTGTGTGTGTGTGAGTGTGTGTGTGTGTGTGTGCGCGCAGGTCCCCTCCTTCCCCTGAGCTCCATTTCCCTCCTTGCTAAAGTGGGAGTCACAAAGGACCAGAATGTCTCCCTGACCACCTGATGGGGCCATGGTGATAAGGAAGTGTTAGTTGACAAGTATAATTTCCAGGTTGTGGATGGAGGAGGGAAGCTGAGTTATTGCAATTAACCTACTATGGCCAAGCTCTGTCTCTCAGAACACCAGATGAATGTCACCCTCTTAAACGCTGTCACTTCTTGGATTGTAGGCTGATGGCCAGTGTGTCGGAAGCCTGGGCCTCCTAGATGCTCAGAGTGCCTTCCCTCCTTCCTGGTATAGAGTCCCACCCAGAACAGAAGTCTATCCTTAGTCAAGGGTGAGAAGAGAGCAGGGAGGGGAGATAGATGTACGATTTTCTTTCCCCAAGAATCCCCTTGAAAGACTGGCACTGGATGCTGATTATGACCTGGGTCCACAACTCTCAAGCTACACTCACTTGTGAAAATTATTTAACCTTTCTAGGCCTCAGTTTATTCTTCTGTAAAACAGGTTTAATCAAGGACCAGCTTAGTGGGGTGAGGGAGAAGAATCAGTGTGAAGTAGAGATTCACACCTGAGCTTGTCTCAACTTTTTCCCTAGAGAACTGGTAAAAAGGGAATCCTCTGGAGTTAGGGGGTGGCCCCAGTGGAATGGGCTGAGAACTACTAACCATTGAGGTAGAGGCTGTCCTTATCCAGAAAGTAGGAGCCCAGCTTCGTGATGCCGAGGGTTTGCCTGCTCAGCTCATGGAACAGCTGCTTGGCAGGCAGACCTGGGCCCCTGGAGGGCTGGCGGTAGGTGCAGAGAAAGTCCACCCCTGTCTTGGCGCCATTCTTCACAGACCTGGGGAAGAAGAGGTTCACCTTTGGGGGATGCAGTTCTCTTGGCACCTCTCTACCTGTGGTAACTACACACTCCAGGTCCCGTGTTTCAGCCTTTTCGAACCTTTGATAGTTTCTCTACCTGGCCACACTCTCTCATCTTGGGATCTTTGCACTTCCAGTGACTTCTGTCTGGAAGTCTCTTCCCTTCTTTCCTTACCTGGGTAATTTCTGGTCATCTTTCAGGTGTCAACTTAGGCACCTCCCCTTCCTCAGAGAACCCTCCCAGGCGGTCAGGAACCTCTTCTGTGATTGCAACCCTGCTCATCCACTATGCGAGCATGTATTAGTTGTCCCTGTTCCCTCCAGTCGTTGACCTCCATGAGGTCAGGGAATGGAACAGTGTAATTCATTGTTGTCGTGTTGAACACCCAGCACCTAGCACATTGCCTGTTCTACGTAAAATCCAAAGTCCTACTGAATTAATAAACAAAATCTTATCTATACATGCAGTGGAATATTATTCAGTCTTAAAAAGAAAGACAATTCTGCCATGCTACAACATGGATGAACCTTAAAGACCTACGGTAATTGAATAAGCATCACAAAAAGACAAAGGCTGCATAATTCTATTCATACCTGGAGTAGTCAGACTCATATAGACAAAATGCAGAATGGTGGGTGCCAAGATTGGGGGTAGAGAGAAATGGGAAGTTGTTGTTTTGTGGATACAGAATTTAAGTTTTGCAAGTTCTGGAGACTGGTTTCACAGCAATGTGAATATACTTCATACTACGAAACTGTATGCTTTAAAATGGTTCAGATGGTAAGTTTGTTATGTGTATTTTACCAAAACTACAAAAGTTCAACTTCCTTCAAGGCTCTACATGGTATAGATATCTCAAATCTCATCTCCTCCCTCTCGCTAACCTGTTCTCTCTCTGCTCCAGCCACTCCTGGCCTCCTTGTGATTCATTGAACTTGCCAAGTTCATTTCTACCACAGGGTCTTTGCATGGGCTGTCCCCTATGCCTAGAACAGTTTTCATGGCCAAATCCTTCTGGGACACAGCTCAGAAGTCACCTCCACAGAGAAGCTACCCTGTCCTCGGGGTAAAACTCCTTTCCCATAACTCTCTACTTATTTATGCTTTGCATCACCTTATCGCATTTGCAAGCACTTTACTTCAATACTCACTCTCCTGATTCCTGTCTGATTTCTCCATAGATGAGGGCAGAGGAAGTGCCACTGTGGTACCTACTACCTGCCTCATAGGTGCTGTACCATCATGTCAGTTTAATTAAAATACCAACTGAGAAGTACTTCATAAATACCAACGGAACAAAAACTGATCCAGAGACCTGAGAATAACTGCCAAATGGGTATAGAGTTTCTGCTTGGGGTGATGAAAAGTTCTGAAACTAGGTAGTGATGATGGGTGCACACCACTGTGCATGTAATTGATGCCACTGAATTGTACACTTAAAATGGTTTAAATGGATAATTTTGTGTCTATATGTATTTTGTCACAATATAAAAAATTAATAATGTGATACTTTTAACCGTTTGACTGCTAAGGAGCGCTATCGCGCTCTTCTTATGTTACTCCAAAAATGCGAAGAGCGCGATAGCGCTCCTGTTTTTTTTTTGTGTGTGTTTTTTTTTTATGCCAAGACTGCGGAGAGCGTAATAATGCTGCTCCAAAACACTAGAATTTGTATAAAAAATGTTTTACATTTTTTCCCATACACGCGCAATTAGTGCCGCAGTTTTGGCATATGTCCGAAAAAATACGTCAGCAGCCAAACGGTTAAAATGGATGCAGAAAAGACCCCCCTCCTCCGAATAGCCTGCCACAACCAGGGGCAGCCCCACAGAGAGAAGCCCATGTCCTTTGGTGGTGGGCTATGGAGGCGGGTGTTCTCACCTTAGCGAGGTGACCTTGCAACCTGCATATCGGGAACCAAGGCTGCTGTTCCTGAACAACGGGCTGATCTGGAGAGGAAGGAGAGAGCCAGTATTGGTCAAAGGTGGGCAACAATCCCTGTGATGGGTCATGGAGAGGTGGGAGGGGTAAGCAGGTCTCTCACCAGATGTTGCATGACGATGTCTGTGATGTTGAACATGTGGGAGCCCCGATGGCTCATGTCCGCGGTGTAGTGCAGGTTGTTGATGGTGAAATTCAGTGTGAAAGGCTCCTCACTGACCTCTGCAGCTATAATGGGAGGAGAGCCAAGGCTTGCAGGGAGTTTGGGGGGCCCAATATCTACTTATGACTAGGGATTCATGGGGCCCATGTCCTTCTCCTGATTAGCCTGAGGGTCACTTGTTAATGGAGACAACTCCAACAGTGAGTGGAGCAGGCTTAATGATTTTGGGGCATCAAGATAAGACAGTTCTACCCAGATGCAGGAGTGCAGGGCTCTGAGGAAACAATGTGGCTTTTTGCTTTGCCAGGAGAAAAGTCTCCAACTTGCCACGCTGATGGGGAACTAATGACCCCTGGTATTTTTATCCATATCCTTTCTGCTCCCCATCTCTATCTTTGTCTCCCTGTGCCTCAGTCTCTCTCTTTCTTCCTTTTGATAGATAGATAAATATCTAAGTCTATATTTATGTCTATGAGAATTGTTGGCTCCTTAAACTACTGCACAGAAGATTGGCATACCTGGTTGTAAGTGCAGGAGACAGATCTAATCTCTCATCTATTTATCATTGATCTTTCTATATACCTATGTTATCTATCTACCTATTATCTATCTATCTATCTATCTATCATCTATCTATCTATCTATCTATCTATCTATCTATCTATCTATCTATCATCTATCTATCTTCTATCATCTCTCCTGCCAATACAACCAGGTATGTCAACCTTCGATGCGTCGATTTAAAAAATTTAAAAATCCTAGCGGCTATAACCAACCTCTCTGCACCTCAATTTTTTCTTACAAAAATATATTTTTATTGATTTCAGTGAGGGAGAGGGAGAAAGAGATAGAAACATCAATGATGAGAGAGAATCATTGATCAGCTACCTCCTGCATGCCCCCTACTGGGGATCAAGCCCACAACCCAGGCATGTGCCCTGGATTGAAATCAAACCCGGGACCCTTCGGTCCGCAGGCCGACACGACACTCTATGCACTGAGCCAAACCAGCTAGGGCTCTGCACCTCAATTTACTCATCTGTAAGATAAAATAATAATTGTTCCTACTTCAAAGTTTAAGGTTTAAACAAGTTAGTTTTTGTAATATCCTTAAGCACAGTGCTGGGTACAGAGTAAACACTATATGAAGATTCATTACATAAAATTAATAAGCAAACACCTCCTTACTATATCAAAGCTTTTTACATGGATAAATATAATCTGGTTCTAGGATTACCCACGTTAAATAAAGTAGGAAACCAAAGCACAGAAATGGTCATCTGCCCAAGGTCACATGGCTGAAGGGAGGGAAAATCTGGTTTGTACCCCAGACCTTGCTTGTGACCACCCCTGCTGTACTCTGGCTCAGAGGACAACGGGCAGCTGATATAATGTTCAATAGTTGGGATGACCTGTGTAGACCCCGATAGAAGTAGAATAAATGAACATATGATACAGGTAAGACTAGTGGCCCCATGGCTTGACTCTAGAATAGGTAGGTGATGCAGGAGCACAGTGTTTAAGACAAAACTCTGGTGGGGTGGGGGAGCTTACCTCCCCTCCTTCCTCCTTCCCTCTACTCTGTTATCACTCCTTTTAAGCTTCCTTCTGTCCAAACTTCCTTCTACCTTTCCATCTTTCATTTCATCCATGTATGGATCCTTGCTTCCTTCCTTCTTCCATCTTCACTTTCATCCATCCATCTTCTTCCTTTCCTTTCTTTCTCGATCATCTATCTATCCACTCATCCATCCTTCCAACCATCATTCCTTCCTACCTCAGTGCTCCTCTTCTTTACTTCTTCCCATTTACACATCCTTTTATGCATCCTTCTGTCCATCCTCCTATCCCCTTATTCCATCTATCCATCCATCTTTAATTCCTCCCATCCCTCTTCTTTCCTTCCATCTATTTTATGCATCTTTCCTCCCTCTTTACTTTTTTCTCTTCTATTCATCTTTTCTCCCTTCCATCTGCTCTTCCATCTTCTCTCCTTCCCTTCTTCCATTCATCACCTCTTCCCTCTTTTCATCCATCAATTCTGTGTTGCCTCCATGTGCATTTACTTGTTCCTATAATGCTCCAGGAACTATTCCCAGGACTGTATAGTGATAAACAAAACACAGTCAATGGAGCTGACTTTAACTTACTTTTCCTAATATAATTTAGGAAAGGATGGTTGTTATTGGACCTCAGGAGCCCAGAGGCCTGTCATGGTTTGGAAAAAGTAAAGGAGGGTAGTTGGACCCAAGTACAGTTTGAGAAAACACACCCTAATGCAAGGGTGATTAATTATTGAAAACCTACAATGTTTTCATTGCAGTGCTTCAGATGCAAAGGGAGTTTGGCCCATAAACTAAAACACAGTAGGTGTGCACCAAAAATAAGTCTTTTGAAATAAATGAACCCATAATGGAGAGTCAGAGCATAAGTTTTGGAACAACAGGGACTCTGGACTCTATTATTTATTTGCTGTGTGGGCTGGCAGCCTCTTTTAGCCTGAGCTTTGCTATCTGTAAAATGGAGCTAAGTCACATGGTTGTAGTGAGAATTAAAGGGCAGAGTGTACATGTTTTGGGATAAATTGTGTCCTCCCCCAAAATTCATATATTGTAACCCTAATAACTACTGCCTGTAGGTGACTGTATTTGGGATAGAGTCCTTTAAAGAGGTTAATTAAGTTAAAATGAGGCCTCTGGTGGAGGGGGACTCATCCAATTTGACTGATGTCCTTATAAGGAAAGGGGATTAGAAAACACAGAGAGACCAGGAATGTGTGTGCAGAGGGACAACCATGTGAAAAGGCAGCAAGTGGGAAGCCATCTGTAAGCTGAGGAGAAAGGTCTCAAGAAACCACCCCTGCCTGCAATTTGATCTTGGACTTGCAGCCTCCAGGACTGTGATAAAATAATTTCTGTTGCTTGAGCCACCCAGTATTTTGTTATGGTGGCCAGAACTGATGACTAATACAGTATGCAACATAGATGGTGCCTGGAAGGTAGTGAGTTGAAATCACTAAAAATGATCCTGAGAAACTCTAATAACAACAAAGATATGAATGAAAGGATAAGAAAAGAGAACCCAGGGTAAGGTTTTAGAAAAGTTAAAATGAAAACCATGTGAGGGTCAGATATGGGAAAACATGTCAGTGTCTAAGATTTTCTCACCCTGGGCTGGAATTCTCTACCAGAACCCCAGGAGAAAGAGAAGGGATGTGTTAGGGGCCCTTCCAGGTGTTTCTCTCACCAAGGACAGAAGGTGAAGGAGAACAAATGCTTTCCAAAACTGAAGTGGTAATGAAACCCAGGAAATAGGGGCCAGGAATACTCACTGGTGGGAGTCATGGTTGTGACTTGCAAGGTGTAACCTGCAGAGAGAAGGCGAGAGGAACTGAGTGAGTTTTGTGATGAACATAAAGATTAAGGGAAAGGGATTTTTGTGTGTGATAAAAGTAGAGGTGAAAGGCAGTGGAAAAATATTCAAGGAGGAGGAAACCGAGCAATGAGATTGAAGGTGGCTAGACCCAGTGATTACTTCATTACAAGAAAGACTGAACCTGGACCAAAAGGAAGAGAGGATGGATGATTTATTGCTTTAGAGCAGAGCTCTTCAAACTTTTTAAACATTATCACTCTGGAGATGCTAGGGAGAAGGTGGCCACTTATAGACTCCATGGATACTAGTCCCCATTTTCCCCAGGCTGGAGGTGAGGTGGGGGTGGGGCATGGAGGCAGTGGACTCCTGGACTCTTTATTTACTAAGGTCTGGGAAATACAGGGCTGTAGAGACTTCTGAACCTCAGAATACTCACTGCTAGGGGTGATGGTCTGGGTTTGGTAGGTGTAACCTGCAAATGTGCAGAAACAGGGTGAGAAGGGGAAGGATTAGGGAAAAGAACAATGGAGAGGGAGGATTTAAAACAAGCTGAGATGCAAAAAAGATGACCCTCCCTCACCGTTGACGTAAAAACTGTCCTGGTCTAGGATGTAGAGGTCCAAGTGGGTGAAACCACCTGTCAGCAGGCTCAGCTCCCAGTACAACCGCTCCCTGTCCAGTCCGGGGACCACAGGGTCAGGGCGGTGTGTGCAGACAATGTCCACTCCAGTGGCTGTCCCTTTCTTCTTGGGCCTGGAAAGGGTGGATGACCGGGGCGGGGGGTGACAATAAATGAAGTGAATTCCTCGGGAGGGGTCTTGACAGTTCTGGGGGCAGGACAGGGATGAGCCATAGGAAATGAGGAGGTGGTAGAGAGGTGAGAAGTTTGACTTAGATTCTCTGAGCTCACTGACTCAGGTCTTCCTCACACTGTGAGCAGAGTCAGTGGGTAGAAAAATTATTAAATTACAAGATAGCAACTGTCAGTGGGTGAGAAAATTATGATTAAATTGAAATTCAGAAACCTGTATCCTTAAGGCCTGGGGACAGGAAAGCTCATATAAGAGACATGTGTAGAGATGGAATTTGGGATTAAAGCAAGTGGAAGACACATTTGTCTTGAGAAAAATGCTGGAAACAGAATTGAAAACCTAAAGGAAATGCCCTCACTGGTCAAAGGGAGGGAAGAGGAAACTTAGAAGGATGATGACCAGACTAGGGATCCAATCCTGCTGATGGGCTCTGCAGAATCTGGGACAGTTGGTGGGAGGAGATACAGTTAGAAGAAGCACTGGTCCCGGAGCAAACACCTCCTGAATTCCACTTCTTAAAACACAGACAGGGAGGGCAGGAAGAAGCAGAACAAACTCTTCAGATCTAGAAGCACCCAAGGCTGCTCTGGCTAGCTATTCAAGGTCTTACCTGAGGCGGGTCAGCCTGCAGCCTGAGTAGAGGGTGCCCACACTAGTATTCTTGAACAAGGCCTTGAGCTGTGGGTGAGGACAAAGGAAATAAATTGATGGGTGGAGAGGGAGGGGCAAGATGGTCATCTATGGTTGGACAGGAGTGACATGGGCAGGGCTAGCACTGATGGACAGGGCAGGAGTGGGAGGGGTTGTCATCAGTGGGCAGGAGGGAGTTTAGGTAGATGGTTTCAATGAGCAGGAGAGGGTACATGGGTGGCTGGCATCAATGTCCTTGGCAGAGGTCAGGCGGGCAGATCTAGCACCATGGGCAGGGCTCTCACCAGGGGCTGCAGGGACTTCTCGGTGGTATTGAATTTCAAGGAGCCTGGAGGCCACATGTCATCTGTGTAGTGCAGGTTAGTGATGGTGAAGTTGAGGGTAAAAGGCACCAGGGGGGG